TGTCACCGGTTGTCGTTCGCAGAGCACACTCAGGGGTAGCAGTGTCACCGGTGGGCACGTCGCTCGGGCAAGTGCCCTGGCTGGTGCACTTGGGACTGCAGAAGTCGCCCGAAATGCCGCTGACGCGAACGGCGACCTCATCGGACTCGCAGCCACTCGAAGGGTTGCCATAATGGGTCGGGTTGGTCGCCACGGCCACTGCCACCTGCACGGAGAATGGCTCAGGAAGCTACACGACGAACCAGCATTTTTTCCTGTCTGCAGTTCGGCTGGCACCTTCCTATTCTCACCTGCAGCTGAACCTCAAAAACTTTTGCTCAGAAAGCATTTGGCTGAAGTCGGAGGTGTGTTCAAGCAACATAGTCTTTCCTGAATCTTCCTGTGCCTGCAGAGTGCTCAGGTCTCCGGTTTCCGTGGAATAAGTGCAAATTCCGGTGCCAAGAATGTGCTGACAAAGGCCCTGGCCTCAGCCACTCTTTGTTGGGGCCGTACAGTACACGTGCTCATCCGCTCAACTGAAAACACATAACGGCAACCAACAAGTGCGGCTTAAGAACTAAACAAATCGAGCATCCACAGTCTGAGTCTGACATGCACAAGAGGGCACAATATTTGTTTCCTGAAGCAGTGCGCAACGCGCATTCCGGATCCGCGGACGCTCCCGTTGGCATGTCTTTCGGACAAGCATCGCGGCTATCACACTTGGGACTGCAGAAGTCCCCAGACATGCCACTCACACGGACTGCTTCCTCACCATCTTGGCATCCAGTCTTGGGGTTACCATAGTGGCTTGGGTTGATTGCCACAGACACCTGCACAGGCCACAGGCAGGGGGTTAAACACCTCCCCAAACGAGTCATGCCACGACGCTGAAATCATGCTGGCCATCTTGTAATTGTGCGAACAAGGAGACCAAGGCCACCAAGCAAAAGGAAATGATTTTGATCTAAATGAGGAAACACGATAAAACCTCCCACCTCCCCATGACCAATTGATTCAATACTTTCCCCGGGCTTTGAATTAGGGGGTCTCGCTGAAGCCCCTGCAGTCACACCAGAGTCCTGAAGCCGATACTCTTTACAGAGCTCTGAAGCCCGTCTATGTGGAAAAAAGGGCGGGTTTCTTAATTGAGGCGGGTATCATTATAAAATATGGGGGGGGATACTCGCAGGTCAGCAATAGCCAGCAGAAGCACGTTGAACACAAAACCTGAGGTTCCCTGTCAGCAAGCCGATTTGATTTACTGGGTTTTGCTGGCAAGCAATGACACAATGGTGGACAGTGTTGTCCTTTGGGAAAATCCAACCTTGGCAGCGAGAACTGGAAGTGTGCGATTGACTGAGGAAGCATACGTGCAAAGGCCAACTCCCATCATCTTCTGGCATGAGCCGGCACCTCATTCAGAGGAGAAAGGACCCAACAACGAGGCTAGCAGCTTGTTAAGCTTCTGCAGACACAAGCAATTGAAGCCACGCAGCCACAGTCCGAGTCAGCCTGGCAAATCAGGCCACAG